TTTTGGGAAAAGCGGACGAAGTTTCACAAATCCGCTAGATGGAGTCACAGACTGCCTCGGTGGTGCATGTTTTAACGTATGCGACTTCTGTGCTTATGTCTCGGGTTCGATTCCCGGGTCGGTCCAAATGTTTGTTTGATCTGCAAATATTTGTTTCGAGGTTTGGGTGTTTTCTATGTAGGTATAATATGTATGTATTTACAAAAATAATAATATACATATGTATTCTATCAGTCAATCTAGCTTTCATAGTATAAGCTCTGCTTAGTTTCAGACTAGATGGCGTTGTGTGTTAGATGTCCGAAATATTATTTTTTAAATATTACGATAAATATAATGGAATATTGTCAGGTAAATCTTGTCGCTTTGTCATTTTACAAACTAAACTATTATATGAGGCCATTCCTTGAAAACTAAGATTTCTTTTTTTTATATAAAAATTATTAATATTCTTTCAGGAAATTTAAATAGTTACTTTTAATTCTAAACAATTTATTACAATAAAAAAAATACTTTATTAACAAAAGTAGTCGGCAATTAGAGAACTCTTTAAAGTCATTACAGCATTTTTTTAAATGAAACTGTCGTAATATGAACTTTAAGGTAATGTTTTTAAGAAATACATCAAAAGTTATGCAATTAGTGATTTGTATTTCGTCAGATTTCAAACAAATACTATTTTTTTTTGCAAAAAATTCCTGTCTGAGTCATGCCTTGAAGGTCGTCTCTCAAATTATGGGCACCATAGATAAGTTGCCACAACATTATTACCTTTATGGTTAGAAAGAAATTCAATTTTAGAATCACCTTTCAGATATAAATAAATATTTATGTATGACAAAGAGAAACCAGATGTGCAGTGTTTGACATCGACATGACAAGTCGAACTCCCTTCGTTCGTAGATTGAGGGTCCCTGTTGGAACAGAATCGGGCGTGTATGTCAGTTAAAGCGGTACAGGGCCTATGTTACTCGCTGATAATGTAGTTTTGTATTGGTGAAAGAATTTTTAAATTCAGTTTAGCGTCAAAACAAATAAACTCAACTTTCACATTTATAAAATACTAGCTGAGAATCGCGGTGTTACCCGCGTTTGTTGTTACCTAAAAAAAGTAGCCTAAGTTACTCATTATGTCATCAGCTATCTGCAAGTGAAAGTCCCGTCGAAATTGGTCCAGCCGTTCCAGAGATTACCCGGAACAAACAGACAGACAGACAAAAATTAAAAAAAAAATGTTTTTTTGGCATATGTACCGTGTAGAAATACATATGCATTTAGTAATATATTACACCCAGACACAGAACAAATGACCGTGCTCATCACACAATATTTGTCCTGAGTGGGAATCGAACCCTCGACCTCCGGTTAAGCAGTCAGGGTCACTAACCACTAGACCAACAGGCCCGTAAACAAACAAACAAACTCGCTATGACATTTATAAGTATGAATTGTATACAATAACAAATATGTAGCGCAGCTGATGAAACAGTAGAAATAGAATACACTCTTTTTCACTTTACATTACTCAGTACCCGTATTGGTGTATACAGTCACCAGAAAAAGTGCCGAAACACCCGAGACGCCGCCTAAATCATCTGATCAAGATGTTTATAGGCCAATGATGACTCAGACAGGAATTTTTTGCAAAAAAAAATAGTATTTGTTTGAAATCTGACGAAATACAAATCACTAATTGCATAACTTTTGATGTATTTCTTAAAAACATTACCTTAAAGTTCATATTACGACAGTTTCATATTATAAAATGCTGTAATGACTTTAAAGAGTTCTCTAATTTGAGACTACTTTTGTTAATAAATTATTTTTGTATTGTAATAAATTGTTTAGAATTAAAAGTAACTATTTTAATTTCTTGAAAGAATATTAATAATTTTTATATAAAAAAAGAAATCTTAGTTTGTGGTTTTAAAAAAACGTATCCATTAAAAAAAAAAAAACTAGTGTTCGCCCAGAGTTCGAAATTCAACTTCATTTTATTATTTACGATATATTTTATTGTCTTAAATAAAGCTGCGTTGAATGAATGCCTGTTTCTCATTTTTTTTATTATTGACGTCACCAAATTTTAATAGAATTTTAATAAAAGAAAGAAATAAAGAACGGAGGTGAAAGAATGAATTTATATGAACCATGGCGGTTGAATTTTGAACGGTTTAATTATTTTTTTTGTTTCATTGATCAGTAAAACTGTCAATAATATTATAATAATAAGCCTTTATTAATTCCACGTCAAAGTATTTTGCAATTCAAATGTTTATTAGATGTGTTAGGATATTAAATTTTATTCTCAAATCTAGTGTAAGTATTGTTGGTTTCTTCATTTTTTTTTTGTTTGGGTGAGGGCCTCCTCTTCAATGCATAGACTTATTTATTTATTTAAACTTCATGTGCAAAGGACGCCGACAGCTTTACACATGACTTCAGCCAAGGCGCTTGCATTTTACAATTGAAATAACAATATAACAGCAAATATAATAGAAACCGATAATATAATTAGTTTAGTGTCAAAACAGTTATAAAGAAAGATAAAAAAAATTATATAACGTCTTGTTTTTTGTAGGTATTTAATTAAATATAAATTTTCAGCTCTCAACTAATGTTTGTTTGTGTTGTTGTGTGTAAATTAGTATTAACGTTTGACAGTGACCTTTCAAACGTTAATAAAATGCTACGAGTATCTAAAAACTGAATAGATATCAAAGAAACTAAACTGATGATGGTTACCCGTCTAAGCGAATGATTGACATGATATTATTATGACAGATTGGTCCAAGTGTTACTAGAATTTGAATTGTTACTAAAAACAGAATTACCCAATATATTTCCCAATTTCGCATAACAATTTATTTATAAAAATATCATTTGTATTAATCTTTCATTAAATATGTTTTTAAATTAAAATACAGATTGTAAAATATTTTGGCAATAAGATTTTTATTCAATATTGACCATTTAAAAAAAATACTGTGTCGCGGGTTACTTTACAAACATACATGAAACGTACAAAAAAACGCACAGACTCAGAACAAGAATTTGTGGATCACACAAAGTGTTGTCCCATGTGGGGATCGAACCCACAACACTCAGCGTAGTAAGAAGCGGCGAGGTGACCGCTTAAACCACTACGCCATCCATGCAGTTTTTTTTACCGTCCAGTTTCTTTTTCCACTGTTTTGTACTCTGCAACATATGTGAGTTCTTTCGGTTGCAGATTGAATAAAATTGTACGTACATCATAAATCAATATAAATATTTAAAAATCTTTTTTTTTAATATACATATGTTCATTTGATACAACCATATTCTCACGAATATTTATTCTGTCGGTCTCCTTTATGCATCCGTGAAACTAATGCCTTGGGTATTCTCTACCAATCAGACGATTCATCAACAGCCTTTAACAGTCCACTGATGGACATAAGCCTCTCCTTAGAAAGAAGGTTTTGGCCTACTATACCACCGTCTGTCTGCAGCGCTGTTGTTCTGTGTAGTTTTCTCTCTTAGTCGGCTTTTACGACACCCACGGGATGAATAGGGGTGGCGACACTCTGTATTCTTAATCCGTCACCACACGGTGAACGATGTCATCAGATGATTAAACGATGCAAATAAAGCGTGAGTTAGGTGCACTTTAAAGTTGCACCAGGGACTTCCTTTCTAGGGTATACCTGGTTCCCCGGCTATTAGTACCCGAGATGGCGTGCGGTTTTAGTCGATTCGAGTCCGACATGCCACCGACAGGTGGTATCCAAAGGGATTTCCTCAAGGAAAAAAAAAAAAAAAACAAAAAGGTGCACTTTAAAGAAGGAAATGATAGAGAAGACATCAACTAAGTACCAACAAGATGTTATATACAAAAAAAACATATCATCATCTTCATTATTATTATGAACAGCCTTTAACAGTCCACTGCTGGACATAGACCTCAAATTAGAAGGGAGCTGTTGGCCTACCATACCACGCTGGCCAGACGGGTTGGTATAGGGTTTGTGTTAAGTTTTCCTTCTCTTTGCAGTGCTGTTGTCCTGCGTAGCTTGCTCCCTTAGTCGGCTCTTACGACACCTACGGGAGGAATAGGGGTGGTGACACTCTATATTCTTAATCCGTCTTCCTTCATAGATTAAAAAACCTACAGAGGCATTATATTTTTGAATTCAAAACATCTTTGCTCTCGCTTCTCTTACTGCAATCTGTGAATGTGTTTCTGTGTAATGGGACGGAAGTATGTAACACGATGCAGACGAAAGCGTGCGGTATTTGATTTGACCAATGAGTTAGCCGTTACATGGTAGGTGAAACGTCATAAGTTACACATTACATCATCATCATCAGCCTTTAATAGCCCACAGCTGGACATAGGTCTCTCCTTAGAAAGGAGGTTTTGGCCTACTATACCAAGATGATATGACGGGTTGATATAGGGTTTATTTCAATATTTCCTTCTTTATAGTGCTGTTGTCACTCACTACATAATGTTCTAAAATACGCCAGATAGTCAAATTGTCAATATTTTCATATTTAGCTCATAACATTGTCAAGTCTAAACTGAATTTTTGTTTAAAGACTTACGCATTATGCAGGGTTAACAAATATGGATACCGAATGGTTGTAACTCGATGTAGCCGTTTATTAATATTAAAAAAAAAAAACAAAAAAAAGCTTTCTGCATTCGCGAAATGTTGAAATATTAAAATATACAAAGCATTTTCTGTATATTTTAATAAATCGATATAAATTAAAAACAAAAACGTTAAAAAATAAATTACATCAATTACATTAACATGTCGTAATTTTGTTTTAGATTTTTTTTCTAATTTTATTCCATTAAAATCCTAAATCGATTTCTATTACGATTTTAATTTCTTTTTTCTGTTCCAGTAAAAAAAAATACTCTATTGTTATTTACATTGATATTATTTATTATATTGATTACAAAATTGATCTAAATCATAGAAATGAAGTATGTATATTTACATTACCTGTCCTATCAAGGGCTTCCTCGAAGGTTATCGGAGTTTGGTCACTGTCACTGTTACATATTACAGTCATCGTAATGAGTGGTCCGCCCGCCACAATCGCGCTGGTACTGAACGAAAGCTTCTCTCACGAGAGTATTTCAAAGTCATGCTAAGAACAACGTACAGGTAAAAGAAAACCTGCCAGCGAAAACTATCACGTACTAAAACGCGTGTGATATTTTGTCGTCAGGAAATGAGACAAAGAATAATATACTCGTAGATACACTCACGCCTGAAGGGATAGGCGGAGTCACTTTATCATTAACCTTTAATAGTCTACTGCTGGCTCCTTGCTACATAAAATGGCAACATTGTTATTCCATAAAAGCTTTAGTATCTAGTCATTTTTTTCGCTAGGCGGTTTAGGTAATAAAACAACTCTATGAAATAAAATACTTAATAAGAAAGTAAAACCATTATAGATGAACAATATCATCGTTTTAAACGATGAACAAACACTCATTAATACTAGTAGTATTAATACTAGTATTTATTTGTTCGCTGTCCAATTAACATGATGATATTGTTCGCCTATAATTATTTTGCTTCTAACATTTACTAATTCTAATACCACAATATCTAATGTTTTAGCGTTTACTATAGTCACTATACGCCTATCGTTACACGCGCTTCAGATCTACGTCACTGAAACCACGTAAACACCGATCGAACTTCATTGCGTGAAATACGTTGCTCGCTCTCTATTATAATACAATCTAACATTCTATATTAAACCAGCAATGTGTAAAATAATTCCATAATGGCATTAGATCAGTGGCAAGATGCCAATAAGGAATGAAATGGGTGTACAAGGTCGTTTGACGACATAGATTCAGTTATATCAACATCAACTCGTTTAATTAGTAAAAATGAAAACAAAAACATGATTTGTATGTGTGCTGTGTGTGATGGTTACGGACATTTGCAATTGTTTACATTGTAATAACCGTTGAAGAGCAAAGCTTCGACACAAATGGACTATCCTCGACCGGAATGATACCAAAACCGGTGTTTAGCAATTCTTTCGTTGGTCTTCATCAAGTGTTTTTTACCGGAGCCCAAACCTCCCCTTGATTTTACGCACTTGTGAATCCTGAGCTGCAGATGTTACCATCAGGTGAGCCGTTTGCTTGTTTGCTCTCTAAGTCAAAAAAAATACGATGATAGTTCTATTGGTTTAAAAGCTCAGACCTTCCGGCAACTACCAATTCGAGTTTCAGCTTCAGGTGGCCTGCGCAACTTTGCGTCTCTCAAAAGGAAAAAACTGCAAGTTTTTGCAACATTTTGACATTGCTGGCCTGTTGGTCTAGTGGTTAGTAATCCTCACTGCTTTGCCTTTGTTGTGCCATAATGCCATAATGGTTGCTGATTTCTTATTGATGCTCCTACTGGTTGCCTGGTATCCTATTGGGATTTTTTTTTAATTCGGACCAGTAGTTCCTGAGATTAGCGCCTTCAACCAATCAAACTATCAGCTTTAAAATATTAATACAGATTACCCGATTGATGTCCGTGTAGTGACGGGTTAAGAATACGGAATGTCACTACCCCAATTAATCCCGTGGGTGTCGTAAGGTCGCAAGACAACGCAGGACCCAGCACTTCAAAAAGAAGGAAAACTTGACACAAACCCTATAAGACCCGTCTGGCCAGCGTGGTATAATAGGCCAAAACCTCCTTTCTAATGAGACACCTATCTCCAGTAGTGGACTATTAAAGGCTGTTGATGATTGAAGACCCGATTGATGTCAATATTCTTGCCTATTATCACGTGAATGGGATTAAATGTGTTCAACCCACGTGTACAAACACGAGGTTCAATTGTTAATTCAAACAATTTATTGTCACTTGTTATTACAATTTATGAGTATCTTTATTTTCAACGATTTCACATCATAGGTAGGAGGTGCAAGGTCTGGTGAGTATGGCGGATGAGGGAGAGCTTCCAACCCCAGCTCTTGCAGTTTGGAGACTGTCTGTTGCGCAGTATGGGCTTGTCGTGAAGGAGCAGTGGGGACGACCGATTGACCAAAGCTGGTTGCAGATTTGACCGCCAGACCTTGCACCTACCGACTATTACTTTTTCCAAAATGTAGACAACTTTTTAGTGGGTAAAACAGTCAATTCCCGAGAGGCAGTACAAAATGCCTTTGAAGAGTTTGTTGCCTCCCGTCCAGCTGATTTTTACAAGAAGGGCATCAATAAACTGCCAATGCGTTGGCAAAGATGCGTCGATTGCATGGGTGATTACTTCGGATAACAGAAATAAAAAAGTTTGAAAAAATAAGTACTTTCACTTATTGCATACAAAACGGCAATTTCATAGGTATATAAAGGTATATATATAGGTAGGTAAAGACCTATTATAATAAATAAAAATATTTTCACACATCTCACACACGGCCATCTAATCCCAAACTAGGCAATGCCTGTACTATGGTAACCAGACTGCTGATATACATACTTATATATTTCTAAATACATACATATTATAGATAAAGTACACCCAGACACAGAATAAATGAACGGTCATTTGTTCTGTATCTCTGTGTACTTTATCTGTAATACCCAGGATAAATAATTGTGTGGTGAGCACGGGTTCATCACGCAATAATTTGTCCTGGGTGGGAATCGAATCCACGACCTCATGCGTAGCAGTCAGCTAGCTAGCTGGCCCACACAGGAAGGGGTCATATTTAAGCCGTAGATGGCAAGAGGTACGACGGGGTTACTGGGCTTTCCTTTCTTGGGTATACCTGGTTCCCCGGCTTCTGGTACCTGGAGATGGCGTGCAGTTTTTGGTCTATACAAGTCTGTCATAATCACATCACTGGTGGGTGGTATCCGAGTAGAGGTCAGGACAGGAAAAAAACGAAAAAAACGTATCTATGGGCGTCGGTAGTGATTAGCGATAAAAAATCAATCAATCTAATACAATTATAGAACTGGGTTATAAACAATTAGATAATTATGTAATTGCGTCACCAGTTTCCTTGGAGACAGAAGCATTAAGGTCGTTATCGGCGGTGCATGCTCCGACTTGAAGTCTGTAAATGCTGGTGTCCCGCATGGCTGTGTGCTATCACCTACACTGTTTCTTCTGCATATCAATGTCATGTTGAAAATTAGGATTACCATTGCTATACAGATAGTATGGGAAATGCCCCTGTATACCAGCCACCCAAATATTTCTCTTGAAAACGTCATCAAGAGTTCAAACAAACTTGCGTCTGAATTTGAAACTTCCTAAGCGGAGGTTTCAAATTAGGGTCGACTCAACGACGGTCACGGTAAAAAAGATATCGTTCGTCGTTCCACCACCTTCCTAAAAGGCCGGCAAGGTGCTTGTGACTTCTGAGTTGAAGGCGTTCATGTGTGGTGGTAGTCGCTTTCCATCAAGTGACCCGTCTGCTCGTTTTTCATTAAAAAAAAACAAAGCGAATTAACAATAACATATATTTAACGTATATTATGAGACAAATATTATGATTTCTAATATTTTCTTGGTAATATGATTATTAATAAGAAAATTGTGTTAATTGTATGTTACGAGTATGAAGAAAATTATACTGAAAAACAAACTAATGAGTTCAAACATGTTCTTGTAACGACAGTATTAATAAAATAAATCGGATATGTCTGTTACGAGGTCCGTTGGTAGTCATTAAAATCGGTATTAACATAAAAAATAGGAATAAGATTTTTGTATGAGCCAATATCCTTCAAAATCTCATCAAAATTTGATTTATAAGTTTGTTATCTAATAAAAAAATCACAATAAAAAACGTAAAGCCACTAAAACTCTCCGTAATAATAAAACAAAACAAAATAAACGTCAGATGACCAACAATTTTAATTTTTAATTTTGATAATTAAAAACTTTTATAATAAATAAAATATAAGATAATTAAAAATTACACAAAATAAATAATAATTTTTGTTGTTGGTCGTTCGAATTCAGTAGGTACAGCGGGGGAGCGCTTGTGGAGGTAAGACCACTAGACTTTCAAAGGAAAGAATTAGACACCCATATAACATATATATAATATATAAAATAAATATAATAGAACAGTTTTGTGTGGTAGAGTTTATGTTGACAATTTTTTTCAAATCTAGTATTATTAAAATAATTTTAACTGACTTCAAAAAAAGAAGACTCCTTATTCAACCATGTATTTTACTGCTTTTTAAAATGAAACTTCTTTAGAATTGTTGTGATTTTAAACTCAATGATACGAAAATACGTCACGATAAAGAAACAAACACAAATGTATAGGATTAAGTCAGCGAGAGAATGAGATAGAATACATTACACATTATTTTTAATATACTATTTTGACAGTGTGAATATTTTATCTTTTTATTGAGTACTAGCTAGTACCCGCGACTTCGTTCCCGTGGAATTTAAAAAAAACGTTCCCTTAGTTGGTTTGATTTCCCAGCCGGGCAAAATTTTATACAGTTATTCTGAGATAAAAAAAAATTTTTTGGAAGTCGTGTGAAAACACATTTTTTTTATTTTTGGTCTTCAGAATTCCGTCAATATTTTTTTAATTTGAAGTGGTATAATCCTGTTTAGTCCCATTCAAAATTGATTTCCACCTCTAAGGGGGTTTTTCATCATGATGTATGTGCATTGAAGTAGATTATAATTTTTTAAACTGATTATTATTTATATAAGATAGATAAAAAACGTTCCCACCCTTAGTTTACCTCAATATAAAAAACAATGCACTACCAACACTTTACGTGAGTTTATCCTAGGTGGACATTGAGGATTATTAACAATATTTTAAGAAAGGAACTAAGACCATAGTGGGAGAGCCATGCGGCACATCATGGGCCAGGCTCAACCGGAGTGATAGTATAGCCTCACATAAAACCGGAGCAGTTCTTTCGTTGCTTTTCACAGTGTGAGTGAGGTGACTAGAGCCTAAACCCTGCCTCTCCCGCAATTCTGGAGGGAGGGACTCAAAGGGCGGCAACGCAATTGTGACTTTTGAGCTGCAGGTATCTATGGGCGGCCATTGT